CAGGTTTGAAGCTGCCGTTTGGTTGCCTGGTGTTTTACAAGCCGCCCAAGCATCGAGAGCTTCCGGACTTCGACATACCCCGGCATATTCGTTGGCTGGAGGATCGACGCAGGGTACAAATTTAGGGGCATACACCTCGTCCTAGACTTTGAGTCGCTTCGCAAAAACACTCAAGGTTGTGGTAAGCCAATCCAAGTTTACGAAACAGAATTGGTCGAACCTTCAAATGGACATTGGGTTTTCCCTCTTTTTGAGGCAGAGCAACAAAGGCTTCAGCTGTTCAGTGCGAAATCAACCCCACCATCCATTTCAACCAGGAAGGCTTTGCCATTTGACGATGAAGTCCCAGATCCTGTCCCTAGGAGAAAACAAACCTATGTGACGTTGGAGAGGGCCATCAAATTTGGTAGAACCCCAGGTTGCAAAGGGTGTGAAAGGATCTCGGAAGGAGTACCGCACTCCGATGCATGTCACGACAGATTCCGTGTTCTCCTCGAGGATGAGAGGCTGGCACAGGAGGCCAAGGCTAAGGCCCGGGAAGAGGCAGCAGCAAGGGGGATACCGATGCCTCCGACTCCTGCTTCGCGGGGTACACCGGTACCTCGTACTCCTGGATCTGGCCCAGCACCTTCGACACCAGTTCTGCCCATTCCAGCAGCAGTCATCACGCTAACCCAAAGGACCAGTGAAGCAACCGATGCTCCTGGTACCACCGCCATCGACTCTTGTCACAACTGTTCTTTTCAAGACTCTAAAAACAAAGGGCCAAGATCAGATGTCAAGGGGGCAAAGTCTTTGGTTGAGGGCAACTCCGAAACCAAGGATTATTGGGAGTTTGATGAAGCAAGGCACGCATGGGTACTAGTGCATTTAAGACCTAGGAAAAGGCTATTTGCACCAGTGGGTAAGGATTGTCCTTTCGACTCCAACGAGGTTGAGCCGGAACGCATCACCGAGTGGAGATGCAAGGGGAAGGTTTCCGTGCATAGGGACAACTGGCAAGAGACTCCGTATCAAAGGATTTTATCCAAAAGTTGGTTTGGTAAGACGTGGTTCTTTCCGAAAGGACGTGTGTCCCCAGATCAAGCGCAACTGTGTGCAGCCGCAGCCAACCCTTCAGACGGTAATCTCAGAGCTATGCAAAGGTTCATCGAGCAAGCCGGTGACAGCCAAGCACGAACTAGGAAGGCCAGAGGAATCCTTGAACTCACTAAGGACTTGGTCAAGCCTGCACGTGAGGACCGCAAAGGTCGAACGGCGAATCCGACACTCTTTGAGTTTTGTTGCGATGAGAACTCAACGTTGGGTCAGATCAACGAAGAAAGAGGAATCAACCATTTCCGACTCACAACAAAGAACTCTGACATGTCAAGCCAGTGGGAAAATGACAGTCTTTTGAAGGTCATAGAACAATTTCCCAGGTGTGATTTGTGGGGATCGATTCCTTGCGGCCCCTGGTCGCAATGGCAGAATGTAAATCTCCATCAATACGGAAAACCGTTTGCTAAGAAACTCAAGAAAATGCGCAAGCATTCTAGAAAAAAAATTAGCAAACTACATTCGTTGTGCAGACAAAGTCCTCAGTCAAGGGGGCCACGTTGCCTTCGAGTGGCCGAAGACATGTGCCGGATGGGACTTGCCAGAGCTGATCAGGTTTGTCAAGAGGCATGACTTGTTCGTCGCGGAACCTCAAGGTTGCGCATTTGGACTCTGTGACCAAGAAGGTAAATGTCACCTCAAGACGTGGAGAGTTGTAACCTCTTCATGGAGGTTGGCTAAAAACCTAGACAGTGCCAAATGCCAACATCCGCGTGACTATAAGCATTCACCTCTTGCAGGCAGTAAGACACCTAGAAGTGCCTTTTACCCGATGCCTATGGCAAGGTGCATTTCTCAGTCCTTATATCCTTGGATTGACGCACCGCCTGCAATGCCTGTGCAAGTGTCAGCTGGGCCAAACTCCGTGCAAGAGTTCCTGTGTGTCGACCACGCCCCAGAGGACGAGGCTGGTCATCAGGAGCTGCCAGGAGTAGAACATGTGTTTGCTGGCATCCACAAGTTGTTGGAGAGAAAAGAATGGGGTAACTTTCCTGGAGCGCAAGACGCCATCGACAATGAAGTGAATGGGCTGGTAGCAAACGGAACCTGGACTTTTGATGAAGTAATCTCAAAAGAGGACCTTTTGGCAAGATGTAAAAGGAACAAGGAGCATATCAACATTGCTTCCCTAATGACCATCTTGTCGATAAAGCATTGGGAAACCCCAGAACTCCGTAAACTCAAAGCCAGGATAGTTTTCCGAGGGGATCACATCCTCGCGGAAGACAACAATCGTGCGGTGCTCCAAGAAGCAAAAGTCACTCCGACCGGAATGACCGGTGTCAACATCAATCTAGCATACGGCGCCATCAAGGGTCACGAAACTCGTCAATCAGACGTAGTAAAAGCCTACACCCAAGCGTACCTTGGGACAAAGGTGCCCACATGGGTGATCTTGCCTTGGGAATTGACTCCTCCTGAATACCGGCACTTCAAACAGCCGTGTGTGAGGTTGGTCAGGAGCCTTTATGGCCATCCCGAATCAGGATACCATTGGGATCAAAGGCTAAGGGAAGTGATGAAACTTTTGGAAGGTCAACATGTTGATGAATTTCCATCTTCATTTTGGTTTCCACAAAGGAAGCTTCTTGTAACTTGCTACGTCGACGACATTCTGTGCTCAGGGCCGTCGTCAGAACAAAACAAGTTTTGGCAGGAGATCGAAAAGCATTTGGAGATCGAACCTCCAACTCAAGTTGAACGTGTGCTGGGCAGACAGCATAAATTCGATCGGACCAACGGATCGACCAAGGTTTCGCTCGAAATGTTCGATTTCATCGAGAACGCATGTGCAGTGTATGAGGACTTGGCTCAATGTAAGTTGAGCACAGCTAAAAGTCCTTTCTGCGCAGAAGGAAGCCTTACAACCGCTGACTTTGAAAGTAAAGGGGTTTTGGCAACTTCTGCATGCAAAATCTTGACGAAGATCCTCTGGTGCGCTAGGCTAAGCCGACCCGACCTAATGAAAGGGATAGGGGATTTGACACGTAGGATTACCACTTGGAGTCGAGCAGATGATAAACGGCTCCATAGGCTAATGTGCTACCTGTATGGGTCAAAAGGGTACACTTTACAAGGACATATAGGCGACCCGCCAGAACTGCTCAAGCTGTGCTTGTACACAGATGCAGACCACTGCAGTGGCATCGAACATACAAAAAGCACGAGTGGCATGTTCTTGTCCATTGAGGGCCCTAACACCTTATGGCCAATCGCGTGGGGCAGCAAACGCCAAACCGTGACTGCCAGGAGCACAACAGCAGCAGAAATGATCTCGCTAGGATCAGGCCTTTTCGGCGAAGCACTGCCAGCACAAGGCTTCCTTGAATTGATCTTGGATCGTCAGGTCACGCTAGAGTGCTTTCAGGACAACTCAGCTGTAATCCAAATCGTGGCTGCAGGTTATAGCCCCAAATTGCGACACCTCACGAAGACGGAGAAGATCGAACTAGGTTCAGCTTATGAGGTCTTCGAAGATCCAAGTTGCAGACTCCTGTACATAGCAACGGACAAGCAGCGCGCAGATGTGTTTACAAAGCCATTGCCGGTGTGCAAGTGGGACCATGCATTAAACCTACTCAACATGGCATCCTTAGACTCAACTTGCAAAGTGCAACCCCGTGAAGCGGAAACGCTCCGAGGCCCGTAGGCAGTATAGTTAAGTAACTAGACTGGAGTCTGCGTAGGACACTTTCCGAGTGTGAGAAGGGGGAGAAGAATGCCTCCTGCTGGAATCCACATTTTCCTGATGGGAGGTGGTGCATGCATGTCTAATTCAACCTTGCCCCCGGAATTCATGTTTGCTTGAACTGCGCTTTGAATCAGGTTTCCAGGGTTGACACTGATAACAAACATTCAGTTCGCCTTGGATGACTTGAATGCTTTGGCTCAAGACAAAAAGGGTTGCGCGAGTGAAGCTTTTGGTGCCGCCATAGCACTTTTGGACACACTCTTTACTTGACTTGTCTTGATTCGTATTTCGTCTTGATTTGCACTCAGTGATTGGGTGTGGTTCCTGTGTGTTGAGGGTAGCTGCTCTGTGGAGTTGTTAAGGGACACCAAAGGCCCTAACGGAAACCACCCCATTCTGACAGTTTCCCAATTTGAAGACAAAACCACATATGAGCCCAATCAAGACCATGGTACAGCGGCCATTGGCCTGGGAAAGCGACTGCCAGGTGCCCAAAACGGGCCACGATTTCGTGAATATTTCTACCAGCTGTTTGGTGCTTACCCAGCCACCAGGGGCTGGCATTGACAAATGGTGGGCCCTGAGTAACTAGGGACAGTAAATGCTCCCCCCACCCCCGCCGCGGCCAACTGCAAGGGGGTCTCTGAATGGGTGGCTGTGTGCGCGAGTGTGGGCGGGAGCAATCTGAGCCAATGTAAAGAACAAGGCATGGTAGCACTTTCTGAGTCTGGCCGCCAGGAATTCCCTCTGCAATGATAAGTAGTCATGGATGGATGGCCCAGTTTGGTATCATGTAGGGTGATTTCCCACAACGAAGCTACGTTCTTCAGGGCTTTTTGTTGCTACATGGGAGCAAGCCACGCAAAATATAATCACGCTTGTGATTGGCGTGGATCAGTGAAAGCGATGCAAGTTGGCCATTTGAAGCTTCACCTTTGCTTGCATGTTCAAGGGATAATTTGACCAAACCATTGATGTTCGGATGCGGCTATAGTTGTCAATGGTTGGTCATGCGGCAGAAGCGCCATAAATGATGTCCACCAAAGTATCCCCAACTAGGCCCAGGCCCCCCAGTGCCCTTCTCTCCCCTTCTTTGGGGGAGGGTTCCCCTACTAAAATAGCCTACCGAAAAAAGTTGGTACCCTTCTAACCTCTCTGGAGGACCTAGCCAAGTAAACTTCACATAGGCCTCCGAGCCCCAGCCTGCCAGGAGATGGGCTTTAGTGACGAGGTGGCCAGGAAAGTCCTCACGGAGTGTGCCTGGGATGTGAACAAGGCCCGGGCCTTGGACGGACCGGTCGTTTTGGGGCGAGCTGGAGCTCAAGAGCACGCATTGGAGACCTTTACTTCCATTTGCTTCAGAATATGTTGGTTTTAAAAGGAGTTTATCACTACTGGTAATATTTTCATATTTTTCCAGTGGTCTTAACCAAATGGAAGTTTAGAGTGGGGATGTAGAGCCCAGAAGAGAAGAGCTGTGAAGGTGGAATGGGTAGGGAAGTCAGGACCCTGTGGAATGATTCATCCATCTCTGGCTGTGCGTGTCTCCCTTAAAGAGCGCACAGCGCTCGTTTGGCTAAGCTTTGCAAGCAAAAACTTAGCAGGATGCAGCTGTGATTGGGCTGCTGGTGCATGCCCTCCTGTTCGGATGTTTCCCCAAAAAAACCTGTCGGCATGGAGAAGCCAATCCGAGTGTCCGGATTGGCTTCCTTGCCTTTAGCCCAATTTCTACCATCAGGACTTGGGAATTGATCATAAACCCAAAGCATGGGATGACCAATCAGGGAAACCGCCAAAAAGATGACTTTCACCACTACATGGAAGATGTTTCATGTTGGTGCCAGGAAAGGGATTATCAACCCCCATTTTGGACCAGCCCTGTTGCTGGGGGGGACCAGTACGTCGCAGGGCAGCGTTGCGCAGGCCATTGATCGGCTTCTTCTCACCGGGGTGCCCGACACAGAAGGCGACACAGGCCTTTGGGGGGCCGGGGCGGGGGGGGGGGGGGTGTCCCAACTGGGCCATGAGTCGCGTGGGAGCTGCGGGTGTAGATCTGAGGTCCTCGTTGGTGGCAAACTGAAGGCGCCGGGCGTTAAGAAGACGCTTCGCCGTTTAAAGGCAGGCCAACTTGTTGTAGATTTTGTCCGAGGTAGTGGGTGGCAACTCGACAGAAAGCTGACATGGAATCCAACACGCCCCCCCCCAAAATGATACCAGAAATTGTGGATTTTGACATTCCGTGTTATGCCACTTGGAGAGCGTATAAGCGACTCCCGTGGCCCAGAATTAAAACTACCTTTCCAAAGGGCAAAGCAGCATGGGGCGGGGAAATCTTGTGAGTCTCAAAAGGAAGCTAAATGGGGAGGGTATGTTTCCCGTTTTGTCCAAAATCCCCGGTTTACCCCACGGAAGCAGCCCAAAGCCCGAGTTCAAAGCAGAAGCCTGGCATCCCTTTTGCAGGAGGCAGCGATAAAGGCGCGGACGCTTAGCTGGAGCTGTGCGTGCCGGTGTGTTGGGCGAAAGTGTCGCAACCCCTCCATTTGGATGTCATCATGGCACTTTACAGGAAGGACATCGTGCAAACAAAAAGCCGCCACCCTGGTGATAAAAGATGAGCAAACCTCCAGGGCAGAAAATGCGTGCCAGGGAAAAACGAAGCAACGCTGACGGCCGGGGAAGGTTTTGGGAAGACTTGGGGATGACGTGCCAGGCGAAACATTGATGAGTTTGGCCCCCGCTTTGGCCCCCAAGTTTCCAGGTGCCGAGAAGGAGAAGATAGCTGAAGACGAGGACACAGGCGTGGGAGAGAGCAGGCACCAGGTGGCCGAGGATTGTACCTACCCGGTGCAGGTTGCTGTGGATGCGGTGCACGCTTTGCAATTTGTGTTTGGGCTGCCTGCGGACGAGAGAAAAAGCCCTGCAATTTAACATGGCGTTGGGGTAGCATTCATGGAATCTGTCCGACATTCGACCTGCCCTTCTGCCAATGACTCAAACGTAAACCAAAAGGAATGGGTAGTATTGGTGTTCGTTTACCTTTTTCAGCCCCCCTATTTCACACCCATGCCCTGTTCGCTATGTCCCGTCCCCTGTTCGATTTTGCCGAGTGAGCTTCGGGCCCAAGCAGTCGCCTTGCCCGGATTCATGTCGACCCCGGATGAATGTTGACTGCTGATTGATATGGGTGTGTCCCTGGTTTCAGTGGGGATTCACTTTTGGAGGGGGTCAACATTATGAGGAAGGACTACCCTACGTCGACCAGGAATTGAGAGGGCGCCCATTTTTCCCCATGGCCGGGCCTTTGGGGCCTCGATCGAGATTGAGTTGCAAGGCGCCAATGGCAAGGCGTTCTTCCCAGCAGCGGCCTCAGATCCCCAAGCATGCTGTTCCGGTGCTCTTTCGTGGCTTTTTTGGGGGACGAGATGGGGGAACACACGTAGTTGCCTTGGCCTTTCTTTGGGTTGCACGGAAACCGCGAAGAAATGACCATTTGGTAGTTTGTTCGAATTAAGAAACATCAGGCGTGTTTGCCCTGGCCTCTTTTTCAAAGGCGACGCACTACCTGGTCGCGTTTCTAGGGCACTGGAGCTTCTTTGTGACTGCTGCTTTTGCGGCGAATCAATGAGCCATTAGTCAAGTAGGAGGTGTCCAAGCAGAAGCCAGTATTTGTAATGCAGTTGGCTCCCTATATATTTTGAACGGGGACGCCATGTGATTTTTCACGGTGTTCATTCAAATCCAACCTGACAAAGGTTCCTAAGAAAGTGGACTGTGACGCAGCTTGGTATCATGATGTTCCGTGCTCAGTCCGTGTTTTGCGTGCGCCAATGCCAAGGAGAAAGAAACAGTTCAGGCGGGGCCGGGCGGTTTTGCCTAGAGCATCATCTTTTGGTTGCGCGACGAACTCTTCCAGAGTCCAGTCGTAGGCTTGCGCTGATCTGTACGCGTCAGGCTTTTCTTTCTGGTGCTCACTAGGCCATCTGGGAATCAAAAATCAACCCAAGGATTCCCTTAAAGGCAGCCACCAGTTGGATGGTTTATCAAATTCATTCCATTTCTCATTCCCTGAGCGGGTCGGTTTTTTTTCGGCATCCCTGTCCTGCAGTTGAAACCCCCGACTTCAGGGGCGTTGGCAGGGGGGCCAATGCAACTTGCAACTTGCAGGAGACCGAAGCGACGGAAAGTCCACCGGAGAACGGAGGCAGGGCGGGCACATCTTGTGCCCGGGGAGAGTAATTATGGTGGAATTAAACCAACATATTTCATATTTTACGAGGCCCATTTGCGGTTGAAACGAGGACCTTGCCATACTCCCAGCAGGAGGCGCATCTGCGAGAGACTGTTTTAACTCGAGCATATTTATAAAGTCCATTTAGTTGTATGTGGGCTAGCCTACCGTCAAAGAGGAAGCCTTGAGCACCGTGGGCTGGCAACATGTCGGAAGGTCGTGACCACAACGAAAAGTCCATTAAAAGTCCAAGCCACCTGCCGAACAAAGTTCAAAGCTGCTTGGTCTTGCAGCCGTGGAATGTCCAATTCGGATTGGTGCCTCTTCCAGATTTCTGCAGCGCGGTTCCGTGGGGTTGATCCATTCCAAAGGGGATTGTTATCCGGGCAGAGGGGTCAGCAGCGTAACTCACATGCTAAGGGGGGGGGGGGGGGGGTAGCAGACATGCGGGAAAGACAGCATTTTTTGTGTTGTTTTTTTTTTTCGTGCGTGGCACATGGTGAAATGGCGCACTGGCCAATTCTCAGAACCGGATATTGACAAGTGTTGCAACTGCAATCACCTCAGACTCGCACTTTGCGCCCCTGTGCGAAGCCGTCAGCGCTGGTCTATTGCGGATTTGTTGCAGCGGCGGCCTCCGTCCAACTTTCGCAGAATCTGTGCAATTGAAACCATCTTGAGGCAAGCCCCAAAAACCCTCCAAGCAACACCAGCCCAGCCCAAATCGCGCTTCGCGGGTTCCGTTCAGTGCAGATCTGCGGTGAAACACTCTAGTCAATAGTCGGAAGTCGTTTGGTCGGCAGAGGTGCCATTTTACCCTTAGCATTCTAACAAAACTCCCAGAAGCGCGTGACAATGTGCGGGCCCCAATTTGTCATGCATGGGGTGGTCATTTGCCTCCATCATCGCTCGCTCTTGGAACCTCGCGATTTGATCCTTAGACCCTCCCACATTGCCATGGTATGTGTGAGGGGTGCCGCGTGGGAGGGAGGAAGAATGGTTGAAGCCAGCCCCTTGGGAGATGAATTGCAACTTCGCGGCTTCCAATTTCTTCCAAACAGAAACCAATATTGGTAACTTTCATTTTTTGCGCCCAAGAGTTAGGTTCTCAGCTTCTGTGATGTGAAGGGGACCCCGAACAGAGGCCAAGCAATAGACTAGAGATGTGCATCCCACTTTGGTGTCACCGCAGTTTTTCACACTTTGCTTGGTGACTTGCCGACCGCTCTCACTCTTGCAGGCGCACCCTTGCCAGCAGAAGCTACGGAGGCGGGAAACTTGCTTGAGCCAACCCTGCCGCGCACGTGAGCCAGGTACCCTCACACCAACTACCATGCAACCCAGTACAGTCCCTTTCAGAGGAAAATGCTTTTTCAACATCCCCCACCGGTTCCATGTTAGGCAGAGCGAGAGCACCTGGTTCAAATATTTCGAGGAACCTTTGTTCATCGAATTCCCTGATTGCGCGTGGAAGTGATACCAGTGGCTTTGCGGGGTCCGCGTGGGGCGATTGCAAGAGCCTCCAGTTGTTGGTCAGCCAACCGCCTTGCTTGATGGCGGGAAGATGTAGAGGGGCGCCAACGATTGATAAATCCCTGCATGCTTAACAGGGGGGTTGTCCACTTGAGGGGATCCTTCACTTCATCAGACATCAGGAACCTTCGCTTTAAAGAGCCGAGAGAGCCTCAGGCAGCCTCTAGCGGGGCCTCGCAAGAGCCTGCCCAGCACGGGACTTGGACGTGGCAAATTCAACTCCTGAAAGGGTATTGACGACTTTGGGACCTGCCCGAGGGCACCAGAGAAAAAACCCAGCTGTTTCTGCATTGTGATTTCTAAGGCCAACCGAAGTGTTCCAAGGAAAGCCAAACACACCAAACATGTTTAGATAAACTTTGGCTGGTGTTGCATGAGAAGCCAGGATGAATCAACCCCTGGCTGATTCACAGAGGCTAGCCCATGCAAACAGCAATCCTTCACTTTTGGAGGCCAATATTGACCCACCAGGTTGACCGGGTCGACATGCAAGGAAAGCCAAGAGGATACCACTTTTGGGTCCGCTAGTTTCTTTAAACAACGCTCAGGAGGGTCCCTTGACTCAATGGCAACCTGCGAGAAGCAACCGCTACGGACTGCGTGGGGCCATGATCTTTTGGGGGAAGGAACCCATGAACATCTCTAAAGCTGGGGAAGGTCTCTAGGTTCCTGTGGTTCATTTAGGCCGAAACAATGCAGGCTCGGGTGGACAGTTGTGCAAATGTGGGGTGTGAACGTGGGTGCGTCCCCCGACAAATTGGTTGGTTCCTTTAGGCGGCTGGTTAGAAGAAGATGGGGCAAGATGATCTAAAAAGTGATGATTCAACTCTTTTTAGCATTATTATTTCAGTACTTTTTAGTCTTCTGCATTGAGCGTTGTTTACTATTCCCTCTTTAGGGCTCTCCTTCTTGTGATTTCGCTGAGGGCATCACGAGGGGGGTCCCCGATTTTTGGGGCGGCACACGACTAAGGACGGAAGTTGTACAGCAGCCTGCTCCGACAAAACGATTGGAGCGGGTCACCAAGCCATGGACCGGACGGTCGTTTTCGCGAAGCGAGAGGTTCCGGCTTAAGCGAGTTGTTCAGGGTTCAAGTCATGGTTGTTGTTGGGAAACATTTTGCATGTTTGCTTATTGTGGTTTAGTGGGAAATCCCCACTTAACTGCAAAATAAATTGTTGCTCCCTTTCCATCGTCAACCAAGAAGCAGCTATGGCACCACGCAACCCCAATTGTTCACTGACTGGTCCCCTTTGTGTCAGTTTTCCAAGGGTCCCACAGCGGGTTCTCTATCTCTGCCGGGCAACCGGGCCAAGGGTTTGTCACCATAGCGATCTCTTACCGGGTGCCCGGCGCCATTCGCATGAGGCGACAGGCAGGTTCTGACTTTGATGTGTCTCTGAGTTCGTGTGTATGAAAAGGGTTTTGTTCGCCTGCTTACACTCTTTCTAGCAATCATGGAAGACATGCTTGTTTGAGAACGGCTAGGAGGTTGTATTCTGGTTGCAGCCTCTGCCGGCCAGACTTTGCCGTCCTGCCCTTTCTGCAGGACGGCCGGGGACACTTCGCAGCTAGGAGTCGTGGAGGACGAATTTGTGTATGCCAGGGCCTTAGGTCTGAAGTCTGAACTTAAGAGCTGCCATTTCGCACGCAAATGCCGACAGTTCTGCTGGATGAATAATCGTTATGGGCCGATTTTCCCTAAAGAAGAAGAAGAGGTTTGTTTAAATGCTGTTTCCAGGCTACCCAATTGTATACAAGGATTGCCTGGAGCCATCAACCCAAGTGTGGTTTGATTTGGGCACGCCGATCATTGACAGCCAGCTGTGGATCAGTTGGCGCTTCTGACTTTTCTCAGTCAAGCTGTGGATCAGTTGGCGCTTCTGACTTTTCTCAGTCAAGCAACGGCTGACCACAGGTATGGGCCGAGACTGGCACGGAGAATGGCTGGATTCATGCCGAGCTTGCCAGCAATCAGGCGAACGGACTGCTCACTTTGGTGACCTGTCTGGGGGTTGGACCAGTGGAGCAAGGAGTGTGTACCCAATTCACCTGGCCCCAAAAGGAGGGAACTCAGAGGTGGAACTGCAATTTCCAGAAGCAAGCTTCTCGCTGGGTCCTCGGAGCCTCTCAAAGTTGCTGTTGAGGGTGGCCCCTTTCAACCACCATGAGGTCATCAATGGAGGATGTCACTTTTTCATTGACCCCAGCATCGTCAATCATGGGTTTCAGACGAGAGTGATTGACGCCCGACCCCACCCCACCCCCCCTTCCACGTGTTGCAGGCCAAGGTTGGCTGGTTGCCGCAATGCATCCTTAGAGAGCTTCCTGAAGGTCAGAGATGGATGCGCCTCGGCAGAAAGATTTCGGGGGAGAAGGGTGGGGAGTGTTCCTTCGATTCTGCTTCCTACTTTTGGGTGCGCGCAAAATTGCCCTTGCCGTTTGGAAGGTATCAGTTTATCAGTTGCACAAGGGTTTCCTTTGACCTTAGGTCCCTTTTGCCAATGGCCTTGTGTCAACCATGATCCCACCAACCATCGTGCGAGTATGTGTCAAGAGGGCACTGGGGCACCTGTTCAGCTCACCAAACAGTTGCTCATTGAGAAGCTCAAAGCTGCGTTTGCTATAGGCTGAAAGCAAGCTGAATCTGAGCGCGAGATTCTCATAAGCAGTTGCTTGCCTTGGGCAGCATTCGGTAGGCTGCTGTGCAGGAACGGTGCATCCTGGGACCCAATTAACGCTCGCTTCGTGCTCTAGACGGGCAGCCATCATGATTGCTTGATGAAACTACCCCTTAGTCAAGAGGTTCCACCATCCCCAAGCCAGCAACAAGGGAATTACGGGTAGTGAAACTCAGGCCGCTTCGAAAACAACGGAGCAGTGGTTTGGATGTGGGTGGAAATCCTCCTCGAAACGAGCATCGCGGGGTTCGCGAGGCGCGCAAAGACCAAGTGGCAGGCGGGAGGGTCGCCCGTGTTCAGCCCCTCTAGATCAATTGGCTGGAGAGAAGGTGTTTTACAGAATATTGATGGCTGTGTGTCAAAACCAATGGTACCATTTTGGGGTAGGTGCACCACCCATTTTAGATTCTTTTAGTGGGGGTTGGGATGTTCACTGGGGGTACGGGCTTTTGACCCATGGCCAGATCACTGAAGGGGCAGAGGGGCTAGTTGAGGAAACGCCGCGACTCGGTCAACTGGCATTTCCGAGTTGTGTTGGGCCCACTTGTGTTGTGCTCGTGTTTGCACTTTGGGCCGTCAAGAGATCTCCCACTTGGGACGCCATGGGAAATGGTGGCAACTTGTCCAGTCCAAGTTTAGTATGGACCTCAACCTGGAGAAAGGTCTGCAACTTTCATATTGCTTTCGACAAATTTGAATCATCGGCGAGCAAGCCACCCTGGCCTGAAAGCGTCCTATGGTCGTTGGCACTGTCATGCTGGGCGGACTCGCCCCGCGATTTGACAGTTTTCCCCTTAGTGGCGGGTTCAAAGCCATGCTTGCTTGCTTGGGGGGGGGGGGGGTAAACTTCTTCCCCCCAAATTCACCCCCAGAACATCACATTGAGGATCGCATGCCCGCCGCAGGCCAACGCTGGCCCCCGAACTTTCACGCTCACACAAGTCGATTCACGCGCTCTTGGAATTTGGAAAAGCTGCAACTGGTGGTCCCTGGCCCATTTTGAAGGGAAGCCCAAAGGAGGTTGTATAAACAAAAGTTGTTTAAGCCATGGTTACCAATGGTTTGAACAGGGGTTGAACCCGTTGCCTGAATCCAAGCTCCTTGTAGGCACGGGATGATACGCAGTGCAGTGTGGAAGTCGGCGAGTTCTGCTTAGTGTGGGTAAGTTCACTCACCAAAGAAGGCCACAGCCTCAGCACTTGAGTCGCCAGAGGCCCTGAATGTGATGCCGAGAGGTTCTCAAAACCATTTTTGGTGTTGGTTGGGGGGGCGCCCAATTGGCTGGAATGAGCGCAGCTGTTGGACAGATAGCGACGAGCTTTCACTAATGGCCAAAGCCTTCCAGGCTCAAAAGAAGCATTGAGCACCCTAGGCGCATCGGGTGTGAATCAGGTTGGCTTGATAGCTGTAGGGGTTGCGCCATTCGGGTTCAATGTTCGTGCTGCACAACCACAAGAGTCCCTGTTGCGCCTGGCCTTTGCAGGTGTCAAAGCAAGAGTGCTCAATGTGAAGGGGGGCATTCAACATTTGAAGAGATTGTCAGAGTTCATGCTGGCAGTTGCCAGCGGCTGACAACCCATTTAAAGTGAGATGCAGCTTCCATTGGTATTTCCGGGTCGGTGATTTGGCAAGCCCCGAAGCCCAAACACCCGCAAGCTTTGCCAGCCTCACCGCTTTGGTCGATTTGTCCCCTCATACGTGGGCAACGCTGATTTGGAAGAGAGCTTCCAAAGAGCTGCTTCCCAGCAAGAAGCCAGCTGCATGAGCTGCGAAATCGTCTGTATTGTTCATCTTTCCCAACTAAACGCCAGAAGGGTTTCATTTTTCCAGACGCCCTGAGCCCGATGGCAATGCTGAGGCTGGACCTATGTTGAGTGCCAGGCGCGCGGGTCGGGCTTCAAGAAACACCAATGGTTCAGTGGCCAGCGGGAGATGACCTGAACAGCCCGTTGTGTTTGTCATGGTGGGCCCGTGTTGACTTTGAGGTTCCTTGCTCCACTTGGAGGCGAAGGCGTTCCACGTTGAAACACCCGCTGCCAGGCTCTACAGCGAGCCACTCTCCCAGAAAATTACTCAGATTGATGCATGAGTGGAAGTATTAGTCTGGTTGAAATCCGAAACGCCTTTGGTCGAATACGTCACTACTATGACTAGTTCCTGGTTGTGTCAAAAGGAGACAAGAGGCCTTCCAACATCCTTGTGTCAGGTTCCATGTTTGTTTGAAAGAGGGTAGGCCGTAGGCCTGGTGGACGATCAATGCGCTGCACCCTGATCGATGAATCTTCGGTTTCTAGCGAGCTAGGGTACCCTTTGTTTTGTGTGCTTTGTCAAACCTTGGTGTTTGAAACACACTGCTGTATTACATGTTCTGCTTCTGGATAGCTGATGCCTTAGAGATTGTTATGGCAACCCTTGGAAGCATGAAAGAAAATGGCTTTGGAAGAAGTATTCGCAAAGCATTGTATGTGTCATTTGTTGGATTTCCTGGTGGAGGCTGGCACTAATTGGGAATGTGTGTGTATGTGACTGTGTGTGTGTCTGTGTCTGTGTCTGTGTCTGTGTCTGTGTCTGTGTCTGTGTCTGTGTCTGTGTCTGTATCTGTGTGTGTCTGTGTGTGTGTGCGTCTGTGTGTGTGTGTCTGTGTGTGTGTGTGTCTGTGTGTGTGTGTGTCTGTGTGTGTGTGTCTGTGTGTGTGTCCGTGTGTGTGTGTGTGTCTGTGTGTGTGTCTGTGTGTGTGTGTGTCTGTGTGTGTGTGTGTCTGTGTGTGTGTCTGTGTGTGTGTGTGTGTCTGTGTGTGTGTGTGTCTGTGTGTGTGTGTGTCTGTGTGTGTGTGTGTCTGTGTGTGTGTCTGTGTGTGTGTGTCTGTGTGTGTGTGTGTCTGTGTGTGTGTGTGTCTGTGTGTGTGTGTGTCTGTGTGTGTGTGTGTCTGTGTGTGTGTCTGTGTGTGTGTGTCTGTGTGTCTGTGTGTCTGTGTCTGTGTCTGTGTCTGTGTGTGTGTGTGTCTGTGTGTGTGTGTGTGTCTGTGTGTGTGTGTGTGTGTGTGTGTGTCTGTGTGTGTGTGTGTGTCTGTGTGTGTGTGTGTCTGTGTGTGTCTGTGTGTGCGTGCGTGCGTGCGTGCGTGCGTGCGTGCGTGCGTGCGTGCGTGCGTGCGTGCGTGCGTGCGTGCGTGCGTGCGTGCGTGCGTGCGTGCGTGCGTGCGTGCGTGCGTGCGTGCGTGCGTGCGTGCGTGCGTGCGTGCGTGCGTGCGTGCGTGCGTGCGTGCGTGCGTGCGTGCGTGCGTGCGTGCGTGCGTGCGTGCGTGCGTGCGTGCGTGCGTGCGTGCGTGCGTGCGTGCGTGCGTGCGTGCGTGCGTGCGTGCGTGCGTGCGTGCGTGCGTGCGTGCGTGCGTGCGTGCGTGCGTGCGTGCGTGCGTGCGTGCGTGCGTGCGTGCGTGCGTGCGTGCGTGCGTGCGTGCGTGCGTGCGTGCGTGCGTGCGTGCGTGCGTGTGTGTGTGTGTGTGTGTTTTTTTTTGGTTTTTTTTTTTTTTTTGGTTGGGGGGGGGGGGGTTGACAAAAGCAAATAAGGGGTGACAAAATGTTCCAACCCTGTCAGCTGAAATGGGGGATACTTCTGGTGAGGGGGCTCAAGGGGATGAGGTTGGTATTAAGTTGGGGGGGATTAATTCATCAGGGGGCGTAGCAGATGGTATACATCCTCCCCTCTCCGGTAGCCCCGTCCCCTTGGCCCATGACTTTGCGCGGCTCCCTGCAGGACAGCGCAGACAAAGGATGGTTGCCGGATTTTTGCTTGGAGCCTTGCCTGCAAGACTCTCCTGAATTCTTCCCACAAAGAACCTTCCAAAAGGGAAGCAAAAGGGCCTGTGAACCGAGCCCCTACGGCAACGAGTGCTCACAAAAGCTCAAGATCCACTCGAATGGGACAATTCCCTGCCCAAGCTGGGGCTTATGAATCCGGCGTCAACATTCGGGGGGGGTGAATTGGCAAGTGGGGGAGGCTCCTTCGCCAGTGCCCAGTGCTGCGCGAACCTTTTTATGAATCTGCAGGTTCGTTCATCCGGGGTCGGCTTTGCTCGATGTTTTGGCTCATGTAATTTTAGGCTCTCTCACCTCCTCGGCTTTTTTGGAGGCGCACGGGTGTCCATGAGGGTTCTTGGGGGCGTTTTGCCAGGTAAACATGGTAGGTCCTGGGGAGGTTCTGAGATACTCTTTGGTACGGGCTGAGTGACTCTCATGCTGAGGCGTGGAGTGACCCATGAGAAGGGCCTGCGTGTGAGCTTTGTAATATTGGCCGAGGTTTGCAGTTTTCAGGCCCTCCCACATTAAAGCAGCGCCAATGACATCAGCATTTTGGCGAGCGGTTCGTCACCATGTAGCTCCTTTACTCAGGGAACCGTCAAATGCGCAAATCCATGAGCCATAGCATCCCTGTCCATAGCTGCGGGTCGTTGACGTCAAATCCCTTCCCTGCGAATCATCCCATGCCCACGTTGCAAAGGCATTGGTCACGGCTGAATCTGCGAGAGAAATCTTTGTCCGGCAAAGGGTGGCAGGACCAATAGACTTGGATTTTTTTTATTTTTATTTTTCGAAACCGCGTGGGCCCTGAAAACTGGTGATTCGACAGCCCGTGCTTTTTACGGTTCTCAACTGCAAAGCAAGCTGGGATGATCTGGGATGGGGAGCCAAACGTCATTGGGTGTTGGGCGCTGGTTTCGAGAATCACTGGTTCCGCCCATGGTTGTTGAGTGCTTTTGGTGGGGTGATGTTTGAGGGGAAAGTTTGGGGAACCGGCAAACGGATGCACTTGACATACCTCTTTCCACTTCGGGCCCCGACAGCATCTCTCGGCCGGCCTGGGACATCGGTCCGTCTCAGGCACTGTGGGGCAAACTCGACAGGGCGTGTGGTCTTTGGAGGGCGCTTTGTCGCGACTTTGAAAGGGCAACCCCGAAAAAGCATAGCCATGCAGCCCATTTGGGGATATTTCTGTTTGGATCCATGGACACTCTCTGGCTCAAATTCACAGGACACCCGAATCCACTGGCTCCACTTTTGCCGGAGCACGTCCATCCCACAGTCCAGCAAAGTAAAAAAAGGCGCGTTCGCGCTTTTGCTCCGCTCCGGGCAGCTTCGCGGCCGATCGGAGTTGGACACACCAAACAAAAATGGGGTCTGTTTGATTACCTCGCGATGCGAAGGAAGGTCTTCCAGCAGTGCTCTTGTTGGTTACAGGATATTATTCCCTTTCCTGGAGACAGCTTAGTGCCCCCTGCATTGTTGCTTCACAGGGTGGCGTGAAACATGAGTGGACAATTGGAAACCTTTGGGTACCGGCTGTGTCAGGCTCAGGTGGTGAGGTACTTGCATCTTTTGCGCGGGCTTTTTCGCCCGCAGGCATGATTGGGGGGGGGTGCCTTTTGGCTAGCTATGCAGAAGCCAAGCATTTTTGGGGCCCAAAATGATCCAAAATGCGATGCATTTGTTTCCCAGGAGCCTGCCAACCTTGAACCACGGGTCGGGAGTGCCAAGAGTCAGGTTCTCTGCCTGGAACCCTTTCCCACCTCGCCCCCAAACACAATGGACCCATAGCTGTCCATACATCCCCTTTGACTTGGGTTCTTTTCCTGGGGTATTTGGCCACTTTCGGCTTGCATCTGGTTGCGCCCTGGAAACCGCTGCCGTTTTGGAGCCTGCAACCTGCCGCTTGTAACGGTTGCGACCATGGGCGAGGAACCCGCTGCTCAACAGCAGTGTGCCGCCTTGCGTGTGACCGGCCTGTGACGTCAGGCAGTTGGGCCTCAACCCCCCATACGTTTCGCACGTGGCGGCTTGCGTTGGTAACCAGGCTGTATTGGTGCGTAAGACCCGAAGCCGATGTTTGGTGAAGCACCGCAAGTTTTGTTTGTTGCCAGCCTCGCTTTGCTCCTTCAAGTGAAAAGTGCGAGGTGCAGAGGTGAGGAAGACAAGACCCATGAGCTTGCATTTGAGGCCCCCTCGCTGACCGCCAAGTGGCACAGGCCCATGCCTATCAGTTCCCCATCAAGAGGACACCGCCAGGGTACAGAGAACGTTCGCTAGTTTACACCGCAATCATGTTGCCAGCTAGTGTGTGTGTGTGTGTGCTTCATTTGCGACATGCTGGCCGCATTTCGGGGACAACCTTGAAACTATTTGGGCCGACCAGGCCGTCAATGGGACACGCCGGACTTTTTTGCCACGTTGTTTTTTGGTCTGTTTGTGTTTGGTCTTCCCCCTTGCCTCGAATTTGCGACCTTTCTTTTCTGCACCCCTTCTCACCTTTGATTTTGCGCGAGTCTGGAGAAAAGTTCACAACAAAACACGCAAGCTCCTCTCCTTGACTTGAATTCGAGTCGCATGAAAAAATATAATTATTCGGTAAACCAAGGAGATTCAAATCATTCAACAGGGACCTTTATCGTGGGTGACTCCCGCCGAGCGCAAGCAGGTCAGGTCGCTACAGTTTGCCCGGATACACATCTTCGCTTGGGTTTATACATCCAGCATTGGAAAAATGAGCCTTTGATCGAAGGAGTTCTCGGTGGTTCAGTAGCACAACTCTTTAATTCCCGTTTGGTTTGGTTGGCTTCCCACTAAACACGGAATCACCTCATCAAGTAGCGTTCCTTTTTCCGCAAGGTCACTGAACAACTGGGAACATCATTGCTCCCATTTGAGGCTTGCTAGAACCCCACCAAACCCAACTTCACTTGTGTGGCAGCTTTGTTCCCATGTTGGTTGGTTGGCCACTCATGGATCAAACCTAAAATCTTGGCGGCCCCCAGCCGTCTTTTAGGGTTTAGTGGTAGTTTCCATTCAACCCACTAGTTAAACTTTTAGCAGGGGATCAGAAAACGGGCAGCCCAGAAATGGATACCCGTGTTGCCTGCGGGGTCACTGGACTGACCGGAGCCTGCGAACCCCCGAGGCCAGTTCCAATGCCGCCGCCTCCGGCGGCCCTGTGAGGGAAGGTACCCGGCCCGGCTTCAAGCGGCAGGCACGACCTGCAGGTGTGTCGGTTGGTTGTGTTGTGCTGCATGTGGTTCCTTCTGTTTGGAATTGTTTTTTTGCTTGCGTGCTTGCTTGCTTGCTTGCTTTTTTGTTTGTGTGTGTGCTTCTTCTTTTTTTTCTTGGCTTATTTGGTCCTTTGTTTCTTGTTGCTTTTGTGAGTTGTGCTTCTCTGCTTGTTAGTGGTTTGTTTAATTCGTATTGAGTTATTTGTCTATGTATTTTTCTATTTTGTCTCGTTCTTTAATTGTTGGTTTGTTTCTTTGTTTGTTTTTTCGTTTGTTTTGGTGCTGCTTGCTGTTGTGTTGTGTTGTGTTGTGTTGTGTTGTGTTGTGTTGTGTTGTGTTGTGCTGTATCCCCCCCATTTTTGGTCCAACAGCTCAACCTTTAAGATTTGATGGCAAGTGGCTTCTTGAGTCGTCACCTTCTCGTCTTCTTCTTCCGGCCAGGCCTCGGCACCTCCGAAGTGGACCATGGCGGAGAAGCCGAAGATGAGCTTTGGCCAAAGCAACTGGCGACCCGGGGCCCGACTCGGGGCCCTGAGTCCAAACGACCGCCCCAGCATCCTCGGTTTCTTGGGTTCAGCTACACCGAAATTGGTTTGGATGGGTGGTGTGGGATTTGAAACCAATTGGGGAAGGTGAGCCCGAACATCCAAACCTGTTTGGTGGGTGTTTCCTTTTTCCTGATTTGTGTGTTTTGTTCTTTTCCATGGTAGGCGCTAACAGACCTCAGACCAGTGCGTCAAGAACTCTTTTTTCGGTCGTAGGGGGGAATTTGCTCCTTTTCGGAAGGTGTCCAAGGCAAACCCATGAGGGACCATTTATTTTCCTTGGCACGCTCCTTTGTTGGGTGTGGTGTCCGTTTCAGCTAGGACGGGGAGTGTTCGTTTTGGGGGGCGCCTTGTGTTTGTGAAGGGGGGTGTTGAGGCACTCACATTCTGCGCGTTCTGCTGGATGAGTAAACGGTTTGTTGGGGGTAAACTCTACCTTCATGTTCACAAACCCAGTTGTTTGGGCTTAAAGCGAGCTCACAAGGCAAGCCGTGTTTGGGTCCCCTTTTTGACACATACCCACAACAAAACCACATCCACACCCTTATTTCGCTGGAGCAACGAGATCCCCCGCTTTTTGGGGACGGAGCAAACCGCGGAAAACGCCCGGGCCCCGACGCGTTTTCTGTCCCGGTCCCAGGGTCATCGGTGGCCCGGTGCCCTCGTGGCAGGCCAGCATTCCAGGCGGGCTGACCGACCGATGTTCCAGGGCCTGTGGAGGAGAAATCCCATGTCGGCCATCGTTCAAAACCGTTTTATCCCATGCTGGGATGGGTGCACCACCGTGCTACCCATTTTGGGGCCTGTTTTAGTGGGGGAGTGGGATGTTCACTGCCAGTACGGGGGTTTGACCCATGGCCAGGTCGCAACCTAAGCTATGGGAAACCCGGAAACCCACAGGTTTGTTGGAGAAAAGACGAGGAAGCATCAGACGGTTTCTGAAGTGGTGCGAACGGGTTTCGAGGGAAGCATCAGCCGTTTTTTGTTAGGTGAACGGGTTTCGCGGAGTAAGGCTTGCCTTTCAAAGTACGGCCTGTGACGACGTTTGTTCTCATTTGTTTGGAGCGGGTGGCTCTTTTGAAATCAAGTACCAACCAAATTCAATTTCTTATGGCCACGGAAAGAATGGTGGATCCGAGCGGCCGGAATGAGTCGAAACGCCGAGGCAAGCTTTGCATGGGAGGCTTGGGGAATTCTATTGTCAGTCGAGTAAATGACTTTTGATTTGCAGTAGTGCAAGCTTCCGGAAATACGACTGAAAGTGATTGCGGCCTCTGAGTTGCCGTCATCCGAGCTGCAAGGTCTACATAGACAGAAGCCATACACCGCGGGCCCGCAGGGACTATGCTGAGAACAGAACCTGCAGCAACTGCCCCACCCTTCCCGCCCCCAAGATCCCCCAACATCGCCAGCCCCACGTCGCAGCCCTATGAGAAAGATCCACCTACGAAAGCCACCAACTTCCAGCTGGGGGTGGCCGGCTGCCTCCTTCAACTGTCCATTGGAAGCCTTGATTCATGCTTGATTTAGCTCTTCTTTTTTTTGGTGTGAGGTGTCTTGCAAAAACTAAAGCACTATAGACTATAAACACATTGGAGAAAAACATTACTTCCAGAACGGGTCTCGTGTGCCGTAGCAGCAACGAAGTGGCCAGGGCCTCAGTACAATTACTCCACGGACAACTTCAAGCACAAGCAGCCGGTGTACTCCATGCGTGGGAAGCCGGAGATGGTGATCGGCGGCGGCGTGCCTTCTTGGATCAAGTCCATTCCGGGCCCGTAACTTGGCTCGTTGGCGCTTTTTTTTGGGAGCGTCAGGATCTCCATTGGAAGGTCTTGGAGCGCACAAATTGGCTTCAGGTCCCGAGATTCGGGCAAGAAGCTGCACAGCATGAGACAAGGTCCGTCAGAAGAGGGAACCCCCCCATGTCAGGGCCCCATGTGGGTTGGGAAAAGACTGGATCAGTGGAAGATGTCGTGGATGCACGCGAAGTTGGCTTGGAGTAGCACTGAGACTGGTAGCACTTTGGGGGACCTTAAGTTTTGCCCCTGTTCGAAGGATCAAACATGGCAGGTTTTCAGGTGCTTGCAGGGGATTCGAACGTCAACGGCAATTCAATGGGGTGGCTTGTTGTGTGCCACGTTCGCTAGGCGGGAAGTTGGCTTTGGCCGAGCACTTTCTCAGCAATTCCCGTGCAGTTTTTCAGGATGGACGTCTTGTGGCGTGCCTGGTTGTTCGATCTTTTCATGCCGTCGGACGGCAGCCGATGAACCCTAGGGTCAAAAGGCCCTTTCCCAACGAATTGCTTAGCGCATTTTTAGCACATTCCTTCTTATTGGACAGTCCCTGACATATGGGCGTGTTTTTTTTGCGAGGGGCTGCCCGTTTTGGGGCAAGAGTGGTGGTTTGGGGATTTGAACCCTCGGCTTTTGTTCAGGGCAACGGGAAACATGACTCCCAAACCACTAAACCACCAAACCAGTCCACCAAACCAATCCAAACCACCAACCAGAGGGAAGCTGATACAAACAGCAAGCAGAAGGCTCAGCGGCTGAGGCAGTACAGCTACGACACTGACAGCTTCAAGGAGAGGCAACCGGTCTATTCCATCCGGGGCCGCGGTGAGGAGAAGAAGTCCCGGTCTGAGCTGCTCAGCTCAACTTTTCTGAGGCCCTTTCACTTTTCTTGCTGGCTCCCAGCCATCCGGTCCCTTAGGCTTTTAGCTTTTTAGTGTTTAGTGGCAGTTTCCATTTAACCTGCTAGAGGTAAACAACTTGTAGCCGGGGATCTAAGGGCAGCCCAGTTTTGTTGCCCAAAAACCGGGGCCAGACCCAAATGTGGCACTCGCCATGTCATTGTGCTGCCCTTGTGTTGGCTGGCTCTAGCCAGAGTGGGTTTTGTGGAAAACCATTTGAATTGGACAGTTTCTGGCCAACCCATTCAGGAAGTGAGTCAGAGGAGAGAACCTTAGAATCAGAAGACACCAACACGGAAACTAAATTCCCAGAAGTTCTCCTGTACCCTAACGCTTTGAACCGCCCAACGGTCCAGAGGCCATTGCTTCTGATGTAGTGACTGGCACGTATTTGCTGGTACTTTGTCAAGGCCTTCTGCTTCACCCTGTCTTTTTGTTGTGCCCGGGTCAACCCTTGCGCGTTGCTTTCAGGTCTAGACGGTATCTCTTTATTTCACCTGCTGCATCGTGCCATTTTGGGATTCCAAAGCATTGCGCTTACTTGAGGGGGGATTCTTTGGAGTCACCCGCCGGGCCCGATGCTTCACAACGGGCCGGGGAACAACTAGGGCTTTTTGCAGGATCAACATGAGTCGTGCTTTGCAGAAAAGCGGACCGGAATATCACCGGCACGCTTGAGTGCTGCTTCCTTTTTTGCCACTCTTTGTCGTTGTCGCTTTGCATGGCTCCGCGTCGATTCCGTGCCCCAACCCTACCTTAGATTAAATATCCCTGCTTGACAGTTTTAAAAACATGCTTGCATTCAACCAGATCAGACTCCAATGCAGGGTACTTGTTACTCGCTTTTCACCTCAAGTGCTTGGGAACACTTTTCTTCACGATTGCCTTCAATTTGAGACACAGGACTGAGCTGTCAAAAGCCAAGCCCAACTTTCCATCTCCCTGTCCACTTGTTTCTCTCTTGGTGCTCTCCAACACGTTTTTAGCGGCTGTCTTCGTTTTTGTTCCTCTTCTTTTTTCTCCCGTGGGGTTTCTCCCTTCCCCCGGGCTCCCGGGAAGAAACCCCCCCCCCTCCGCCCCGCTCCCTCCACCCCCCCCCGTTTCGCGGCCGCCGAAGCCGCCGAGGACGGCGCCGGCGCCGGCCACCACGGAGGCGCTGATGAGGGGCATCGACGCCTCGCGGAAGAAGCCCCCGGCCTGGAGCGTGAAGCCGCCCGGAGGAGTGGACCAACGGGGACCGGATGGAGTCGGGGACCGGATGGAGTCGGGGGGACCGGATGGATGACTATGGTCAATATGAAACGAATAGAAGACCGCGGGTTTTTTGTCCTCTTTTTTCGCCATTTAGCGGGGCGAGCCGTTTTGGGCAAGCAGGCCGGATGCCGGAAGTGGGAAGTGGGACGTCGGGGCGCTTGGGGACCCAAAGCCTTTGAAACCTGGATTGGGTAAGGAATCTTTGGACTGTTTGGCTGAAGTTTGCCCAAGGGCCTTTCCATTTGAAGCGCGGTCAGAATTTACGAAGAAGGAAAGTAGTTGAAAAACGATAGAAAACTCTCAACAAAAACGATACCTTTGTGCTACAGACCAAACGCTGGAAAACAACAGGGGGCTCTCCAAATTCGAAACTTACTGTGAACAACAAATGTTGACGGAACTTCAATTGAAACCGCACACGGCTTTTTCAGCTTTTGGCAGCGGGGTCAACAGCAACCCTCAGTATTTATTTGGAGATTGCTCAAGATGATGGAAGGGTTTTCCTTATTGAAGCGTGCTTTGGCATCTTGGGGCTCCTCCATTCTTCTTATTTGGGGTATGCTGGCTAAATATGGGGCAGAGTCAGAGAATATGCTTCACAGCAACAGAGGCTGCTGGTTCCAGTGGGGAATCAACCATGCTTCACAGAAGCGTGTCGGTTCAGGTTGGGATGCATGGCCGGTGCGATAAACCCCGAACCATTCACTAGAATCAAGTGGTTTTCCTTGCAATGTCCCTTGGGGTTTTCCTGACGGTTTTCCTAAGGGTTGTCCTTGTTGTTTTTTTGAGCAAACTGGGTGCCCCTTTTCCCAATGAAACCATGCTTGTGTGGGGGAGGGGGCGATGAACATGGAATTCAAAAGCCAGTCGAAGTTGCAGAGGAGTCTCCCTTTTGAGGAGGGACTTGGCGGCTTAACAAGGCTCCCTCCCAGAGCATTGGGACGGGACTTTAAGAGGAAGCGTCTTTCAGTCCGTTGGGATGGGTCTGTGGGGGTGGTTGACCCTCCTGATGGACTCTGAAAGAAACGTTGGAGGAAGACTGATCTGAAGGGGAGAGGGGGACTGAAGACGTGTGTTGACAAATTTGTTTCCCCTCCAAAAGCCAAGAACTAGATATCACCTCAAGCCTTAGGCAACGAATGATCAAATGGATTTGAGCCCCGTTGTTTCTGGCAACACCTAGGAGCTCACGCAATCCCCTCAGTTTTTGTTACTTCATGTTTTGTTGGTCCTCAGGTCTGCGCACATGGAACAAATATCACCCCCGTTCAAGGCAACACCTAGGCCCTGGACTCTCAGGTCAAGGCCTGCAATGGTCTCCGGTGATGCGGTGCCCTCCTGGGTGGCTTCAATCCCAGGCGACCCGTCAGCGACCTTCAGAAGGAAGTTCTTGGGACAAAGAAATGGGATCTTGGAGTCTGGTGATGTGCTTTCGTGGCCCGGGATTGTTGCAGGGTTGTCTGACATCCCCTGCGTTCCAGCGTTCATCGGCATCTTTGGGTCGTTATGCGTGTGTGTGCGTTTTCCCTTCCACAGGGGGGGGGATAAGTGGAGGAAGCTTTAGATTTAAGCCAGAGGTTCTGTGCCGCCGTCCTTGTGCCCCATTTTGTTTGGTAGCCTCCCTCTAAAATGGCCACCCCGAAAGAAGTTGTCCTTTGTCTGGAGCCACTGGAAGCACCGGCGAGGGGGTGTGCCCTTGGTGAGCTTGGCATTTGCATTTGGATGGAATCCTGGGCCTCGATGTCAGAGTCGCCATCGCTTACACACTTGCCCCGACTTGCCCCAGAGATATGTTGCGGAAGGTCAGCCGGAAAGAAGGTGCCTGCAATTGTGTTTATATTTCTTTGGGCCCCTAAAAATCAGCCAGCCCAAACATGCTCAGAAACTAGGAAGTCTGAACGCAGGTTCCATCATAACGGGAGGATACCGGGCGGGGGATGCCAGTTTGCCGGCCTGTGAAGTTGGACGGAAACAAGACACGGAGCCTGAGACAAGAGAAGATCCCGCAGCATGAAAAGAGACTGGGAGATACAGAGGGGAAACAAAAACGGCGTCGCAGCATTTGGCATCTGGCACCGGGAGACAAGCGGGAGACGGGAGTCACAGGGAGACAAGCCATGGAATCGGAGAATATCGATACCCAGAAAGGGGTGCGTGCAAGCTTAAGAAGATGTATGGGGCCCGCGCATGTTTTCCAAGTTCTGGGAATTGGTTAGCGGGCAGCTTCTTGTTTCCAGCGATTTCACCTTGTACAGACGGAGTTTTGACCTGGATTTTCCAGTGATCCACTGGCCATGACCCTGGATGCACTCTGGGAGTTGGCCAGGCCCAAAATATCATCCTCCCTGCGACACCTTCAAGAAGAAGCAGCCCGCGCCCGCCCCAGACCGTCTCCGCTTGGGCTCAAGCCTCTAATCGGGTACCAACAAAGCTTAAGCTTGGCTCCGGGCAGACAAGTACATGTCGGTCGTATCTTCCCTACTGCTGACAGCAAGCAGCAAGCGAGTTTTTTGTTCAGGGATCATTCTAATGTCCCACTTTTGCCACAAGTGCTCCGGTCGCCTCTTTTTGCGTGGAATGCGCGGAATGAAAACCCGAGGTCTACTCCATGGGCGGGAAGTTGCCGTCCGAGCGACGGCCTCAAGACCTCGAGGTTGTAGCGAGCGTGCAAAGGGCAGGTTCCCTGGAAGAATCTCCCACGGGTCAGAGCCTTCTGCACTCTTTCTGGTATCCCCCACGTTTTGCATTAGATTAAACTTGTTGTTTCTGCTCGGCTTGCGAGCCCACCTTGAAAGAGCATTCCAGGAAGGCCACCCAAAGTCCACCCGACCTACAGGCCATCTTCAGGCTTATGGGTGTTTGTGCTCCGGCTTGCTCAAGACGAGCAACAATTTGCCAAAGGGAAGCCTTGGTGGTTCACCCAGATGGAGACAAACCCTGATGATTGTTTGTTGCTGAATGGCCTTCCAAAATTCTAAAGGTTAGCTCCCGGTTCTCTTCACTCATCGCCTCTTAGCGTTTTGACCCATCCCTGCAGAATTGGGACACACAGATAGAGAGACGACCCAAGCTGAAGGGCCAAAACCTTGGTGTTTGTCTTGGCCCTATTTCCAGCAACATGTTTCCACCCCAAACATATATGGAGCCACCTTTCCGGAGCCATTCCGGAAGGCCCCTGCCGTCCAGCCAGCTCGCGTGAAGTTTGTCCAAAGCGGCAGGTCAGATTTGATGAAGGTGCGCAGCCCTGGCCCCATGCGCGCCTTGGTCTGCCTAGCGCCTTGTTGTTTGCGGTTTGGCTCAGTGCGGGCTGCCAGGGTCTTTGGACTTTTGAATACTGCTGTATTTCGCTTTGCTTGTCCGGGGCTGGCCTTGCGTCGAAATGAGCTCTTTTTTGTTGTGTGACTTTTCATGCGTTTTGTTGAAGCGGAGGGTGTTGACTTGTGCCAGCGGCCTAGTTCGGCCAGATCCTGTTGTCGAAACCATGCAGGATACCTTCCAACAGGCCCTTTGCCCATCGCCCTTTCAACATGGTCCTATAGGAGCCCTTTTGTGGCATGTTGTTTGTCTGATCGCATCTGGGCCATTGGCCAGCTTGCCACGCACAGATCCCTGCCCAATCTCCGTCATCCACGTGGGCCGAATGCTCCCGAACTACATCCAAATTCTCTCGTGGGCTTCCTGCAAGGTTCCTCTGGGCCCTAAAGTTGTTGCGCCCATTCTTGAGCAACACACAAACATACTGATAGTCGGATTTGTTCTACAAAACCTTTAATGTTCACACCATTTTAATCAATCCCGGTTGATTAATAGGGGGTTTTCCCTGTGTTTAGTATGGGGGTCAACACTTTTGCAAGTACTTAAGGGACAACTCTGTGTGGCTCCTATTGCTACTTCATGTCTTCTCGGGCTGGCCTCGTACGTTTTGGGTGCCCCTGAATATCAGTTGGCGCCTTTTTCGTTTCCTTGCTGAGTCAAGACCCTCTGGACGCAACGGCGGAGAGAGAGGGAGAGAGAGAGAGAGAGAGCGAGAGAGAGAGAGAGAGCCAGAGTGAACCCAACTTTCCCACAAACCAAAAAGCAGGACGAGAGGCCGGGAATTTCCACATCCGTATTTTTTGGGGACCGCTGATGAGATGTGCAGCTGGCAGGCTACGGAGGACCCGCCATGAACTCCAAGGAGCAGGAGAAGTGTGATAGCACCAGGCGCCAAGTCGTTGCTTTTGGGCGTCAAAACTGGGTTTTGATTTTGAGCATCCTACCAGAAATGAACTCAAAGCCGGGAACCGCAACTTTTGTCCAATTTAAAAATGCATCACCTTCACAAGAAACCCACATAGGAAGCGCTCTGCATCCACAAGTCACGTCCTCATGCGGTTGGCTTTAATGAACTTGGAACCCCTTGTGAAACCCCATGCTACAAGGAGAGCACTCAACTCAGCACGACTCATCCAAAAAACGGCAAGACAAAGGCGCCTCCACCACATGCCAGTTGGGGACCGGGCTTACACGTTCAGTTTTTCTGGTTGCTTGAGGTGGCCTTGGCAAGTAACTTGCGTGGCTACTGCGAAAGGATAGTCCACAATCTGTGTGCTGCCTCGCATTAAGCCCTCTAGTTGCCATCGCAGGGTAGGGTTCTTTTCCCTTTAGCTTATGGCGTCTCTTGTTTTCCATGATGGTAGTCGGGGACTTCGCATCCGAAGGAATTCGCGTGCCAGTTGAACTTTTGGACTTGGGATTGACCAAGCGGAGAGAACCCTCTTTGCATCGTAGGCTTTTGGTTGGCTTTTTTTTCCGCCAGGTTTTCTACGATTTTCCTTGTGTCTGGTTCCTTTTTGTCCGTTTTCTTTTGTTTCCAAGCCTTTTGGGTTGTTTTCAACCTGTGTGTTAGAACCAACAGGCTAGATTCCTTTCAAGGGAAACCTAGAGAACAAACAGTTGTTGATTGTGGCTAAGTAAAACCCAGTCTTTCACTGGGATGGTCACTGTGATGCAGTTTTTACTGGTGAGTTTGTCCTAAAGAATCGTGGCTGAAACATGTTTAAGGTCTACCTGAGGACCGGTTGCCATCAGGGATTTATTGAATTACTTCTTGAAGCGAAGATCTTTCAACCGGGGTCTCCTTGGCAAGCCAAACCAGAATGAGGTGGTTTAAGCAGAAGTGTTTTATTGCCATGCTTCAAGGGAGGTTTCAACCGACAAAAGGGTTTTCTTGGGTTGAAGCCACCGGGCTGAAGCCCAGAACAGCTCAAAGGGGGGACGTTTCGGCAACCGACAAAATGGTTTACTGCCATGTTTCTTTCAGGCGTTTGGTGTGGAGTTGATGTGCTAGGCTAGCAAAAGAGCCGCAACAACTGTTTCAGGCAGAAGAGTTGGGCAACAGCACAGCTGTTCAGCCATCTACCCCCTGATCCTTCTTTTTTTTGCTTGGCTGGGGAACCAGACATGAGTCCTGAGGCTATGTTTTTCCCCATGCTGCAGCGTAACTCGATAAAACAAGCTATTAAAAAGGGCAGGCAAGAGGCCCAGAAGCTCTTCAGCTTGAAGCCGCGCCCCACGGCCCGGCCCAGCCCAACTTGGTGAGGCAGAAGAGCTTCTCCTGCTCCTTCGGGGTGGGCCCCCGCTGGTCCGGGCCCACCGCGGAGCTGGTGACCACGGGGGCGCTGGCGCGCTTCGACCGGCCCTGCCTCTGAGCGACCGAGCGAGGTGCGCGAGGCGCGCCTTCCGCGGGGAGCGGAGAACGGGGCGGCCGGGGCGGCCGGGGCGGCCGGGGCGGCCGGGGCGGCCGGGGCGGTCGGGGGTTTGGTCGGCAGGGCCCAGGTTCTGTTTGGACCTTTGAGTCGGGTCACCCAGCACCAACATAGGTGGTGTTCAGGGCAGAAAGTTTTGAGCGGACTTCGGACTCGCGGCTCAGGCCTTGCGTCCGTTTTGTTCTGCCTTTGAAAGGCCTCTTTGACCCATAAGAAAGCGGTACAAAGGCAGAACAAAGACAGGTCCATTGGGACCTCCGGGATCCTCTTGGAGGGTGGGCAGGGTTTCGGTTTGCACGAGCAAACGCTTATATAATTCCCCGTGGTGAAGTTATTCCTTGCTAAAGAGTTCCTTGGTTCGGCTGCCTCAATCATCGGCAGGGTGCGGCAGATATGCAACCGGCTTGAGGGACTTAGAACCATGGCGAGAGGGCCACGAACCAACTTACAAAGCACCCCTCATCTTCCAAGCAAAGCATGTGTTGCTTGTAGATGTTCTTTGGACCCCACCTCATTTCACCCTTCCTTCGCCCGCCCCAGAAAAGCCTTAAGGCGCCGCGAAAAGGTCAAACACGCCAAATTACACCCCGTTGCACCCATTGATTGGAGAGTCCAGCCAGGGTTGTGCTGCACTGCCATTTGGGTGATGCATCTCCGTGCTTGGGCTTCAGCTTTTCAACTTGGAGCTTTGCCTGTTAGAAGTTCATTCTGTGGCGGTTACCCTAGAACTAATCTAGACGCTGGGAATTGGGTTCCAATCGCAGGGCGCGGTAGAAGAAGGGAACCTTTTTGGAGGACTGCCGTTACCCACTCAAACCGGATCTGAGGGCGAATCACCACCGAACTGGGGGTACTTTGGGGCACTTTCTGCCCTCTCGGATCTTCAGTGATTTCTTTGCCTGGGTATGCCTTTCCACCCCTCCCCCCACCCAAAAACTTGTCCAAAGTGAAGGGGCTTGTCCAAAGTGAAGGACTCTCCCTGAGTTTTCAGACAGCGACTTCATCTTTTTGAGGTTTGGACCATAGTGGTACACAAGTTCAGGACTTTGGCGGCCCCAAGTTCTCTGACTCCGCCGGGTCCAGGAGTTTAGCTCGACTGGATGAGCCGAGTGACCTGTTCGGCGACTCCAGCCAGAGGTTTGGTGTAGCGATTCCAGCGATGGGGTGAAACAGGGTAAAAACGAGCGACAGTCACGTAGGTCCTTTACTTTGTGATGGATTTCGTGCAACATGTGCAGGTCCGGCTCTTTTCAGAAAGTCGCCCGGCAGGGGATGCGGATGCATTTGAGTAGAAGGAGAAAGGTGGAAAGAAGACAGAAGCAACTCTTACATACTTAGCTCAGTTTGATCAAGCCTGGCACTCTTTTGCCTGAGCTGGTCAGACTAGGTTTGTGCCGTGAAGAGGTTGCAAAGATGATCATTACTACTGATTTGGCAAACTAAGCCCAAAAGCTTTCTGACTGCCTTGCTGTAGAAAGCACAGAGCTACCTGGCATTTGGGTACTGGGGCTTAGACTTGTTTTTTTTCTTTTGGCGTTTGTCCTCGCGCGACCTTCAGGATTCCACTGAGCGCACAGCAATTTGAAACCTTGGTGTCTGGAAGCGCACAGGATGTCCAACACTGCTGGAGTGTGGTTCTGCCCGTGGACCGGGTCAATTGCTTTATTGAGTCCCTGCAGTCCAAGAACTTGGACCCGACAGGTTCGCAGAAAGTCGCGGTTGGGGCGGAAGGCGGAAGACAAGCACACGGCCTGGATGTTGCTCATGGGAATAAAGTGCCCCTTCCCGTTTGTTCAGATGCGACAATGTGAACCTGTGAGCAGTTAGCAGAGACCAACACTTCCCGCTGGCAACCTCCAAAGGAGGCATCTGAGCGGGGAAAACATTTGGCCCGACGATTTTGTCCCAGTTGTTCAGTGGCACCCTTTTTCCCTTTCTGGGTGGCTTCCCGACAGCTCGCTTGAAGGGGCCCTTTGATCTTTGGGTCGCTGAACGACTGGGCCGGCCGGCCAGCTGGCGAATGCCAGCGACCAATCGTCATGGAAAAATGCTTGGGGCACAAGGTTTGGGCAGGCCTCCGAGTATCCGTTGCCAGGACGAAACCACAAGAGCAGAATATTGATTTGGGTAGGGGGCACCATGGGCACCCCAGAATTGGGGAGATGTGCTTTTGGTTTCTTTTTAAACCCACCCCAAAAAGGTACACTCACAAATCACACATCATCTTGGGTCTTCCTTTTTCAGGGTTTTTTCGTGTTCTCAGGAACCAAGAAGGTCGGGTCGAACCCCTCGCCGCGCCGAATGTGTAGTCCTATAGGCAGGCGGCATACCAGAGTGCCACGCATGCCAAGCCTCACTGGAGGTGTTGAAGAGGAATGTCACTCGACAAGCTTCCGCCACAAAATCCTTACACTAGGGTGAAAGTCCATGGCGCCATTCCCTCCGCAGGATGATAAAGCCGAAATGGGGAGGTTGTGCCATCTAATCCCTTGCCAAACCAGCAGAAGTGCCAGACAAGTTTCAAGACCCACCCGCTGCCCAGCAGCGAGCCATCCCATCTGCACACGCGGCACGCGCTCGGCGCGTTGATGACCGAGCAGCCATGCCAGACGAGAAGAAGGCCTGAGCTTGTGGACATTTGAGCACTGTGCGTGTTTGTGTTTGTGCGTGTCGGCGGGTGGCGATTGTGCAAAAGGCGATCTAATCGCTTCCCCCTGTTGCAAAGTTGCGCGCCCGGCCCGCCCCCTAGTACTATGTATATGTTTTGGGGAAACACAATTATTGATAGGGCCCCAGGGGGGTTCCACTAGGCTCAAAATCGTAATTTGCCAAATACGGCTCATTAAACGGAATTGCTCATGGCAATTGTGGGTTTTGTCAGTTCAATTTGGATTGCATTGCTAAATTGAACTTACATGTTGCAAGTATATAACATGAAAAAAGGAAGTGCCGCAGGTACCCCCAAATGAGGGCTATAAGGAGATGTCAGGAGTT